TGCTTTGGTTGATACAAGTTTTCAATTAATTTTGTGAACTTGCTGTAGACTTGAATCAGCTAATCGTTTATTATTGGAAAAAAGTTTCAATTTGACACAAAAAAAATTTACTCGATGGTTGTTGTGTTTACTTTCTTCTTTTATTTGAATATCCTAAGCATAAAAAATACATACATATTTACATAAACAGTTACTAGTATAAATAATACATATGAATATGGTGGTAAGAATTTCCTAAAAATAAACGATAAAACAGGAACAGTCGTGCGAATACTCAGGTCAATATCTTCTGCTGGAAGTGCTGGTTTAAGTATACTCCTTTCCTTTTTCCTTGGCTAAATAGAAACTTTCAAATTATAATTAACATGAATTATATATCCACTGAGAAACCCCGGTTGGCATCAATCTTTATATTTTTAAATAACTAAGCGCACACCAAAACAACTCGCGGCGATAGCAAAACTGAAACTGAGATAAACAAGTCTGGGCATGTCATAGCACACACTTTTCTTTCTCTATCTAGCGCAGTGATCGACACGCCATAGCTTACTGTGCGCTCTGTGACCACATGCGTGTTTCACCTATATACGAACAGCGGTAGCGGAGCAATGATTTCCACGCACACAGTCTCATTCATTGAATCGTTTTTATGCAATGGTCGGCATACTAGCGCATTCAAACGATTCAATAAGTGGAACTGCGTGCATTGCTCAACTGGCGCTCTTCGTATGTGAAACACACATGTGCTCAGAGAGGGCTCAGCATTCTTTAGGGGTGGCTCACAAGCATGAATATGTTCCGCTCTCAAGCCAAATCGTGATTGCCTCAACTAAAATTTGGTAACTATGACTAAACCATGTGTTGAAAGAAAGCTTATCTGCATTAGCAGAGCTTAATTACATCCTTTTATGAACCATACGTTAAATTGAATGGAATTTGTAGAAATATGCTTCAAAGAAATATTTATTATTATTTACCAAACCCTTCAACTAAATTAACGATTTGGTACAACCTAGATGAATATTAGAAGCTTTAGTATATTAAGTTATAATTACCAACCCATGGTAATAGTTCCCAATCCTTGGTAACAGTTCCCAAATATTGTCAAAATTCGGAAACTAAATATCTTTAGTTGTCGAAACTAATCCTTTTTCTCACTGTAGAGCAGAGAGCGCGAAAAGCGAAAAAAAGCTAGCTATGTAAAAGTTATTGTTTCAAAACTTGCAATATTAAATTTTTAAATATAAAATTTGCAAATCAACCACCCTGCAATTTTATTTTTTTAATGGTATTAGGCTCTTATTTATCCAAATTTTCAGGTAATAAAAAAGATACAGTTCGGATGTTACTTGTTGTCGTAGACGTTTTTTTTTTTAAATTTATGGCTTACTTTTATAAAATCACATAACGCTGTTTCCAAGTGGGCTACTCATATATTCATTAAAAGATAATTTGTCACCCGTCTGAAATAAAAAAAAATTTAAATCAGAAGGATAAAATAGTATTTTGTTATTAATTCAAAAGTAAATAATTGTAGTTCAATGACGAGGGGGGGTGGATCAATCCCCCCAAATCCCTCCCCCCTGGCTACGCCAATGTTTCGACAGAACACATTTAAAATTCATTGTAAACTGCTTTGAGATCGTTGTATAATAACCTCCTCCTTTTTTGGAAGACGGTTAAAAATTATTTTATACATACACTTGTGATCAGCTGATTAAGTCATCAACATTTTGATCGATTGTGGCTGCTTATTTTTTTGTTTATTTAATGTTTATTAATTTTCCATAAAAGCCTAGCTTTTTATATAACAAACAAAATATAAATCCACATTTCAAACTTTGTGCAAAAATTATACAAAATCTGCAAAATTTCAGCTCGATTTTCACCTTTTTATTCAGATTTTTGGGAATTTTTTTGAGTATGCAAATCAAACCTATTAAATTCCGAGGTAATAATGTTCAAGTTTAAAGGGGCTAAATAATCGCGTTGATTTTTAATAGTTTTTTTTCTTGTAGCATTTGGTTAGTTAATCGGTTGTCGAGAATGCTAAATTACGGTCTGCTAAGAAGGAACATAGCAAAATTTCAGCCGTTTTTGCGTTCATTACATTTTCACGGCAGTCTTAAAAAAGTCGTCTACTTTTTTCTGACTTTTTATGCTGCTACAGCTTTTTTGGTGCTTTTGCGAGCATGCGTGTTGCAATAGATCAGCTCTTCCTGATTTGGCTTTTAATGTGCAATTGCAAACATTGCAATAAGCCTCGTAACCTCAAGTGTTTACAAAACCAGCCTTTGGACGCGAGATCCTTAGTCCAAGAATCCAAAAAAAATGCGCGTACGCTTGGATTGCATCATAGTTAAGTCATCTATGTCCAAAGAATAAATATATTTTGTAGAAAAGTGCTACGAAAAAAAAGCTTGTAAAGATTTGTTAAGAAAATAATTCAAAATTAGTTCTACTTAGAAGATTTAGTAACAGAGAAAAATTACTGGGAAGTTAAAAAACGTAATTTTTACACAAAAAACGTCCGAACGTCAACAGGATACAAAAAACGTCCAAATGACGTTAAAAACGTCAATCTGGCAATGCTGACTGTATTGGCCGATGAACAACAGCGACTCTCTTAGCTATTATGCGAATATTTGCAGAAAATGCAACTTGTAAAAATGCTTATATGTGCTAACGTATGTTCATGTGGTATATGGGGAAATAATGCACTTATGTTTTTCGGCAATTTGTTTAGTTAAGTTCAACGAACTATGCGACCAACGGAAAGAATTGGTAAGCAGAGGAAAGTATTTTATTTTAAAGTGCTACTATTTGGTTCTTGCACAGTGGCACATAGTAGGCATATAAACTGCAACGGAATTTATTTTGGGGTATATATCCGAATTTGTATATATGTACAAATACTTATATATATGTATATAAGTTTGGCGGTATGTGGAGCTATACCGCTTTCCGGAAACGGAATTTTTCTACAAAAATTTTAATAGCGGCAAATTGCCGTTGTGGAATTTTTGGGCGGCAGGAAAATATCCGCAATTTTAATAGAACCGTTGTTGGCGTGAAAAAATACGCCTTTTAATAAATTATATAAATATATATATATGCATGTATGTATATACGTATGTATGTCCGTTTGCAGTTTATTAGAAATAATATAACTTTTACGAAAATGGAAGTTATATTATTTAAATTTTTAAGGAAATTAAAAATTTGCCTGTTTACCCCTTTCCTTGATTTATGTAGATGTGCTTATGTGGCTTCTTTGCTTTGACTGTTGTTATGGCTATTGTTGGCTGCTGATTGTGGAGTTGCAGATGCTGTTGATGGCTGCTGATGTTGTTGATGGCTCCTTATTCTGGCTGCTTGGCTGAAAGCTTGCCTTGGTTTTGTTGGTTTTATGATGATTTTTATTTAAATTTTTTTTTAATGTATGTACATATATAGATATGTTTATGTATTTTCTTTCTTTTAGTTTGCGATATGTATGTACATGCTGATGTGCACTTTGCGACACTTTGTTTTTATCTCAAAAACAATTTTTTTAGTTTTCACTCTGAGTTAGCGATATGTACAGCACAAGGGTAAGTACGTGTATTTCGCTTGCATGTGTACATATGTAGCACTGTATGTATGAGCGCACTTTGTCTTTTGTGTTTAGTTAATAGTTTTTATATACGTTTTTTGTGCGGACGTACGGTTGTTTCGATTTTTTTATTAATCTTAATTTTTATTTTTTATTTTTTGGGGCTAGGCCAGGGTTGGCTGCGAAGGACCAGGAAAAAATCCACTGGTCGCCGCTCGCATTCACCTTGCACACCCACTTTTTCCGATACAAGGAAAGACTTTGTTTTCAATTTTTAGATTCAATTCACAAAATCTTTGATCGTTTATTTAAACATTTAGTTTAAAAGTATATAGCTATATATGTTTATGTCTGTATATTTACAGATATGAAGACACAGTTTATTTCACAAATCCGGGTAACAGCCGTGTCGACTCAAGTAGCTAGTTTTAGAAGGGCGCGTGCGCGTTGACCGATGTTAGTAGCTGAACTGGCTATTAATTTGCCACGAGGATGGTAGGCGGCCGTGCGCGCTCGGTAATAATTTAAACACTTGTAAAACTAATTTTGAATTGCCCGACCCACACCGTTGCTTATGCCAGGATTTTAGCTCTCATTCCACATGTTTGATATATCAGATCCGCTTTTCAGCATTAAGAAATCGGTACTGTCCTCTCTCAATAAATGAATCATTAAAATAAAGACATAAAATCGGCTGATGAATTTAGTTCTGTAGTTGAACAGTTTTAGATCTCGACACTTAACAAACTCCTGCCTATCGTGACTCGGCGCAAAAATTTAAAATAAATACTGGTTTCGGACGTCATGCGGACTACGCCCCTCTTGCGGATGGGCGGGAATGGAGGGTAAAAACCGTTGGGAGTATTATTACTGTTATTAGTGATAGACTACAGACAAGTGAATAAAAAATAATATCTGATATATTTCCACTTTCACGCATTGATGACATCTTAGATCAACTAGGAAGAGCAAGATATTTTTGCAATTTAGATTTAATATCTGGATTTCACCAGATTGAACTTGAAGAAAACTCTAGAGACATAACATCCTTCTCTTCAGATCAAGGATCATACAGAATCAAACGTTTACAATTTGATTTAAAAATCTCACCAAACTCTTTTCAAAGGATGATTTCACTGGCATTCTCTGGATTAGGCCCAAATAAAGCTTTCGTCTATATGGACGACCCCATAGTAGCAGGATGCTCCGAAAACCATATGATCTCAAATCTCAAACAAGTTTTCGACATTTGTAGACAGACAAATTTAAAATTACACCCAGATAAATGTACATTCTTTAATTCTGAAGTAGCATTTCTAGGTCATAAACAGGGAACGAATTTTAAGGAAATTGCCTTTTTTCTGCTAAAGAGATAGAGTATATTCGATTAAGAATGTCCACGATTTAGCTTTCCCTGATTCCATATATACACATTTGATGTTGCCTTTTTTTGCCTTTTTTAAGATATTTGCCTTTTCTAAGATATTTGCCTTTTCTGTTTTTAAAAAAATGATTATAGCATTTACAATTTTTTATTTTTTTTTTTGCCTTTTTATAACAATTATATTCAACAATTTATATTGAGCTCGAGGCCGTTTTAAATGAAAATTTTATTGTGGAAAAGCAAGAATAATTTGAAAAAATGGTAGAAGTGATAGCTTTTCGGAAATCACCA